GAGTCACTTCAGTACTGAGTTAAAAGGGTGTCTGACTAAACAGACAATAGGTAAGTGGTAACTTTGGTGAAGGGTAAAACAGTACATAATACTGGGGAAGCCAGCACAACTTGTACAAGGAAAGGTCATGGAAGCTCCATAGATACTCCCAAACTCCCTGGGGACTGAATTGCTGGGCTGAGGGCTGTGGAGACCATGGTCTCAGGGAACATCTAGCTCAATTGACATGACATAGTTTATAAAGAAAATATTCTACATTCTACCTTGGTGAGTAGCGTCTTGGGTATTAAAAGCCTATGAGAAGCCATCTAAGATACTCCACTGGTCTCACCCCTTCGGGAACAAGGGAGAGTGAAGAAAACAAGGTACAAGGGAAAGATTAGTCCAAAGGACTACTGCACCACAACTACCATGGCCTTCAACAGACTGAGTCCACTACAACTAGATGGTGTCTGGCTACCACTACTGACTGCTCTGACCAGGATCACAACAGAGGGTACTGGACACAGCTAGAGAAAAATGTAGAACAAATTCTAACTAAAAAAAAAAAGACCAGACTTACTGGCCTGACAGAGACTGGAGAAACCCCGAGAGTATGGCCCCTGGACACTCTTTTAGCTCAGTAATGATGTCACTTCCAAGGTTCACCCTTCAGCCAAAGATTAGACAAGCCCATAAACAAAATGAGACCAATGGGGCAGAACAGCCCAGGGACAAGGACTAGAAGGCAGAAGGGGATGGGAAAGCAAAGAAAAAAATAACTAAAGGGTATCTGGGGGCCATAATCTTGGAATTTCTCCAATCTCTATCAGACCAGCAAGCCTGGTCTTTTTTTGTGTGTGTGAATTTGAATTTTGTTCTACATTTTTCTCTGGCTCTGCCCAGGGTGCTCTATTGTGATCCCTGCCAGAGCAGTCGGTGGTGGTAACCATGTACCATCTAGTTGTTCTGGGCTCAGTCTGGTGGAGATTGTGGTAGTTGTGGTCTATTAGTCCTTTGGACTAATCTTTCCCTGTGTCTTTGGTTTTCTTCATTCTCCTTTTTTCCAGGCAGGATGGGACCAGTGGATGTATCTCAGATGGCCGCTAGCAGGCTTTTAAGACCCTGGTTGCTACTCACTACAGTTTGATGTAGAACATTTTCCTTACAGACTATGTTAGGCCAGTTGAGCTAGATGTCCCCCAATACCATGATCCCAAGCTTTCAGCTCAGTAGCTTGGTCTCTCAGGGCGTTTGGTTGTGTCTGTGAAGCTTCTATGACTTTACCCTGGTCAAGTTGTGCTTTCTTCCCCAGTACTGTGTGTTGTATTACCCTTCAGCAAAGTTACTACTTATCTACTATCTACTATCTGGTTAGTGAATTTCTCTCCCTACCTCTCCCCTCCCTCGTAACCTTCAAAGATTGTTCCTTTCTGTATGGAAACACTTTCATGAGTTTTTATAACAGTGGTCTCATACAGTATTTGTCCTTTTGTGACTGACTTACTTTACTCAGCATAATGCCCTCCAGATTCATCCATGTGAGATGTTTCACAGATTCATCATTGTTCTTTATCGTTGCATAGTATTCCATTGTATGCATGTATCATAGTTTGTTTATCCATTCATCTGTTGATGGGCACTTGGGTTGTTTCCCTCTTTTTGTTATTGTGAATAATGCTGCAATGAACATGGTTGTGCATATGTTTATTTGTGTGATGGCTCTTATTTCTCAAGGATATATTCCTAGGAGTGGGATTGCTGGATTGTATGGTAGCTCTATTTCTAGCTTTTTAAGGAAGTGCTATATTGTTTTCCAAAATGACCATGACATTTTGCATTCCCACCAACAGTGAATAAGAATTCCAATCTCCCGGCAACCTCCCCAGCATTTGTTATTTTGTTTTTGTTTTGTTTTGTTTTGTTTTGTTTTTTGATTTGTGTCAGTAATGTCAGGGTAACATGGTATTTCATTGTAGTTTTGATTTGCATTTCTCTAATGGCTAGTGATCATGAGCATTTCCTCATGTGTCTGTTAGCCGCCTGAATGTCTTCTTTGGTGAAGTGTCTGTTCATATCTTTTGCTCATTTTTTAATTGGTTTGTCTTTCTATTGTAAAGGTGTTGGGTTTTCCTATAGATTTTAGAGATTATACGTTTGTCAGATATGTCATAGCCAAAAAATTTTTCCCAGTCTGTAGATTCTCTTTTTACCCTTTTGGTGAAGTCTTTTGATGAGCAAAAGTGTTTAATTTTTAGAAAATCCCAGTGATCTAGCTTATTTTTTGGAGTTTGTGTATTTTTTGTTATGGTTTCTGTGTTACTTATGCTATTTATGTGTATTAGGGCCGCTACTGTTGATCTTTTTTTTTCATGACCTTTATAGTTTTTGGTTTTATATTTAGGTCTTTGATCCGTTTTGAGTTAATTTTTGTATATGGCATGAGGTATGGGTCCCATTTCATTTTTTTATGGATGGACATCCAGTTTTGCCAGAACTATTTGTTAAAAAGACTGTCTTTTCCCTATTTAATGGACTTTGGGCCTTTGTCAAAGATCAGATGGCCAGAGGTAGATGGATTTACATCTGAGTTCTTGATCCTATTCCATTGGTCAGATGGTGAGAACCACCAGCAGCAGAGAATCAGCAGAAACATAGAACTGGCAACAGCAGAACCAGGAGACCAGCACAAGACAACGCTGGAGCCAACCCATGGAGGAAGAGAGCTGAGTACCTTTGCGTAGGAGGCTTCTTTGAGGAGTAGGGTGCCACCAGGAACTTTTGGTGGCGCTAGGCTTACCTACTCATGGAGCAACAGAGCTGAGTGCCTTCCAGCTGAAGTTTACTGGCAGAGTGGGGTGCCTCCAGGCACTTATCAGTGGAGCTAAAGAGCTTTGTAACACTTGCCCCAGCAGGGTAGAGCCAGGTGGAGAGGCCGGAGGGGCCAAGAAGTGAAGGAACCAGGAAACAAAAGCTGAAGAGACAAGGAACACAGGAAGCAGAGCTGCCTCAATCTCAAAGGGTAAAACCATAACTTCTGTGCTCTCAAAGGGTGGAGTCGCCACCCAGATGTACTAGGAGAATGGGACTGCCCAAATTCAAGGGAGCAGAGTTGCCTTTCCAGTGGCCCTGGAAGGCAGAGCTGAAGCCCAGGACTGAGGGGCCTCCACTCAGAATCCGGAGAGTGTGGCCAACACTCAGAGTCTGGAGGGCAAGGCCATTTTCTAAATGGGCTCAGAGAATAGAGGATTATTTTCAAGCCTTGAGAGCTAATGTAATGTGTTCTGCTGACTTGCTTGGTGCCTGTTACTCCTTCTTTCCTTCCAACTTCTCCCATCTGTAATGGAAATAACTAGCTTCTGCCTGTTCCACCACTGAACTTTGGAAACAGATAAAGTGTATTCTAGATTTCACAGATGAAGAGGAATATTTTGGATTTTGGACTTGGAGTTGATTTAAGACTTTTGCTATGATATGATGGGGAGAATGTGTTTTACATGTGGCAAGGACATGAATTTTTGGAGGCCAAAGGATGGAATGTTATGGATTGAATTCTGTCCCCCAAAAATATGTGTCAACTTGGCTAGGCCGTGATTCCCAATATTGTGTGATTTTCCACCATTTTGTCATCTGATGTGATTTTCCTAGGTGTTGTAAATACTACCTCTATGATGTTAATGAGGCAGGATTAGGGGCAGTTATGTTAATGAGGCAGGACTCAATCTACAAAATTAGATTTTTTTTTTTTTTTTTTTGCATTTCATCCTTTATTTAGATATTTAAGCTCTCGCAACTAGGTTTTTACAGGCTGGTGAACACTGACAAAATTATTTCTCCCACAGAACTATAACCACACATTGCCAGATAGTATAAATATATGGTTGAACTAACATTAATACACATCACCATTTTATCAATTACATAATAAAACAAATTATCAAGTATCCAAATATTAAGTTACACAGCTCAAAAGGCATATAAAAATTAGAGTCTGCTCAATTCATTTGCAGAAACCCACTTTTTTTTGCAAGAGAGGTTGAAAAGAGAAGGAAAAAAAAACACACTTCAAACAAAAGTTGGTAAACAACTTCCAATTGATATCTAAAAAAATGACAAGAATTTCAGATATTTTAGATTAAGAATTGTTTTAGCTACAATAACAAAGCATCTCTACCTTTAAAAAAAATTTACTAAATTAAAGAGCATATTCCACATGTTCTGCACAAAACAAAGGCAACATTTTACTAAAAATATTTAATAGCCACCTCCCATTCTTTTTTCAGGCCCTCCCTGTTAAGTTGCACCCCAAAGTGCAAACATTAAATTAACAGTAAAGCTTTTTTTTTTTTTTTGTTCTGGAGACATTAAAGACATGTAGATTTTTCAAAATGGTTTTCCATAAAAGCAGAAAATGAGATTTGTATAAAGACATTAAACAATCACTGTAAGACCTGGTGAAAATCCAACAAAAATCAATGGTTGCGCAAACCTGATGTATACTGATACGAATGTGGGAGATGTAAACAAAACGCGAACAGGCAAAAAATGATAGGTCCTACTTTCAACGTTTGAAATGACTGAAGGAATAAACTGCATAAGGGCTAGAGTGTTCATAGTTCCTGAGATTTTTTTAGTTCTGTATGATACTAAAAATATACAAGTATTGTGCTGGGTATTTTGGCACCTAATCTCTTTAAATTTCTTATGTATTGATAAGATTCTGACATGGGAATAGATTTAAAAAAGACATAACAATACTGCATGATTTCAGGAAAGGTCAGTTGGTACAAATGATAAGCACATTTTTAAATGCTGAACAGTAAGAAACCTTTGCTAAGTATCCAGATAGGTTGAACGTAACTCAAACACCGAGGTTGCAATTCTTTCAAGCTTGTAGCCTGGTGAAATTGCTTTTCAATACTCCTAGGGAAGCTTTATTAGACTTATTCACCAAACTAACATGTTGGCAAATATGCATGACAAATTCGGTCCTGTCTCAAGTTCCACTTCCAAGGCAATACCATCAGGCACCCGTTTCACTGAATGCAACGGTTGTTTCTATGACCATTGGACTCTTTGAAGCACAGCCGCATTTTAGGACGATACTTCTCCAAATACAAAAGTTGCTTGCTGTTAAAAGCTCCATGCCACTTTTGTCTTATGAACTGTACTGCATCTTCATATTTCATTCCACCTTCAATTAATGCTAGGGCAACAAGCACTGGAGCTCTCCCAAGACCTGAAACACAATGAACAGCAATACAACAACCAGGTTCTTCACGAAACTTAATTTTTACAAGACTTAACCAGTCATCAACAATCTGGTTGGAAGGTGGTGCACCATCATCAAAAGGCCAACCAAGAACATAGATAGCTTCTTTTTCCACAAGAGCAGTGTCGTAAGTTGCTTCACATACTCTTACTATTGTGGTAACTCCATATTTCTTAAGTTCCTCTATAAATTTGTTTAAAGTCACATTGGTTGGATTGTGTGTAATAAGAAATCTCATGTTCTTGTATGCGACTTCCACAGGAGCTGGGCAGTTCATTCGAGCCATATTAATTTAGTTAAAAAACACTCAATAGGGTTAGGAAAGAATTTTAAAAAGTGAATACAGAAATGATGTAAAGAAACTGAAGTCTACTTCAAAATACTCCACTTGAAATTCTCAGTGCTTTAAGTATGATGTTGGGAGTAATGGAAAATGAAATGAACCCCCTAACATGAAGCAACAATTCTTCAATCCAGTAATACTGAGGCAATAGAAAGGAAATTGCACTGAGGTTTACCCCTTCCAGGTCAGAACTCTTAAAAATTGCTCTGCAGTACAACGACAGATACATTGACCAATGGAACAGAATTAAGAACCCAGATGTAAATCCATCCACCTATGGTCACCTGGTCTTTGACAAGGGCCCAAAGTCCATCAAATGGGGAAAAGACAGTTTTTTTAACAAAAGGCGCTGGCAAAACTGGATATCCATCTGCAAAAAAGAGACAGTACCCATACCTCACGCCATATACAAAAACTACTTCAACATGGATCAAAGACCTAAATATAAAACCAAAAACTATAAAGTTCATAGAAGAAAAAGTAGGCCTTAATACATGTCATTAACAGGATACAAACCATAACCATCAATGCACAAAACCCAACAAATGAGCTAGATAACTGGGATCTTCTAAATTATCAAACACCTATGCTCTTCAAAAGACTTCACCAAAAGAGTAAAAAGAGAACCTACAGACTCGGAAAAAATTTT